AATGTAAATAAACGTTTCCTTCCTTTGTTAGATATACAGAATGTTTCTCTTGATGGAGAGGAACAGTTGAAGAATCATCCATATCAAAGGGTACTGCATCAATTTCGAGAAAAATTAATATATGAACAGTCAAGGTAATTTGCACTGTGTAATCTAGAATGTTGCCAGAAGAGGTATACCTCCCGTCAAAAGTGAAGAAGAGAAAGGCCTTAGTAGAGAGAAAGGCCGTTATTATTAAACAGAATAAAAGAAGGAAGAGAAGTGGGTCTTAGGACTGTGGTCGGTGTGAGAGTTTGAGAGAGCTGATGCATGTGTTATAAGATTTATGAATTTATTGTAGGTGAAGTGTAAATTTTATTTACTTGTGAGGCACTTTAGAATTGCATTCGTAGAAAATTGAGAAAACACAGAAACAAATGTTTTATGAGGAATTTTAGCGAGGCAAGTGACATTGGGCTGTTTGGTAGCACTTAAAAGCAGCTTAAAACTGCTTTTAAGCTTAGATTAAGTCATTTTGGTGTGTTTGGTAAAACTTAAAGGGATAGATTATAGCTTTTATTAAGTTATTTTCAGCTTAAATTTATAAGCACCTCAGGGGGTGCTTCTTGATTTAACTTATACGGGAAGCTGAAATTGGAGATGTAAAATGACTTAAACGCCCTTCCTAATTGATGCTAATTACAAGTGTGCCATGTATATATATCATTTCTCACTCATTCTTCCTCTCTCACACAAATGAGAGAGGCGATTTCCGGCGAGCATTCCGACGACCGAGCTCTGTCTCTTCTCTCTCTCTCCCTCTCTGTCTCTCCCCCTTGTTCTCCGATCGCTCTCCATCGCGATTTCAATCATCACGATCTGAACCATCTCGATTGACAACGTGAACTCGTCTGTCTCCCTCTTTGCGATCGACGCCGACGATGAGAAGGAGGAGATCTGAACCATCGCGATTTGGACCATTGCGATCTGAACCATCACGATTGACCAACAGTGATCGCGATCTGAACCATCGCGATTGATGCCGACAGTGAGATGAGGAGGAGGAGGAGAAGGAGAAGAAGGGGCTACCGGCGGGATGAACCATCGCGATTTGAACCCTAGCTCTCTCTCGCTCTTTTTGTGGATCTGAATCAAACCCTAGTGCCGGTTCCTCCCGCCGGAGCTAGGGTTTTTGTTATTATTATTATTGTTATTTTGAGTTTTTTCAGTGTTTTTTTAATAAAAAATAAAATAAAATAATTAATGAATAAAAAATAATAATTAATTAATTTAAAATGAAAAAATGAAAAAAATTTTATACTAATTGATATTATTAATAATTTTACTATTAATTGATGCTTATTAAACCATTAATTGCCAAATCCAATCAAAATTGGTTTTAGGTTCAAAGATTTGAAAGTAATCATGTTTGGTTTAGTTATAGATTTGGTATTAACTAGAATCAAATCAATTCATACATACTTATTAAGTAATACAACAACACAAATATTTCATAAAAATATGGACATAATATAGTGTTATAGCATTACATTCTCCACAATGAATGTAATACTGTCAATATTACATTTTGTATATATTTATGAGAAAAGAAAATATTACTAAAAATAATTAAAATGAATAATAATAATAATAATAATATTGGAAAAATTGATACATTAATATAAATTGATGAATATATGTAAATTGAAATATTACTAAAAATAATTAAAATGATACATTAATATAAATTGATGACTATATGTAAATTTATAAATTAATATAAATTGATACATTAATATAAAGAATAATAATGGTACATTAATATAAAGAAAAAATGAAATATTACTAAAAATAATTAAAAGGAATAATAATAATAATAATAATAATAATAATAATAATAATAATAATAATAAATGGAAAAGTTGATACATTAATATAAATTGATAAATTGATAAAAAATTGATGAATATATGAAAATAATATGTAATGAAATCACAACATTAATATAAATTAGAGCATGAATATTAATTTTAATGAATTAATATATTAAAAAAAATTAACAAAGAAAGAAGAGAAGAAGAAAAAAATTAAAAAAGAAAAGAAAATAAGGTGAAAAAGAAAAGAAAAGAAAAGAAAATAAAATGAAAAGAAAAAAGAAAAAATTGTATTAAAAATGAAATCACAAATTTTATATCCTATAAGGGCAAAAATAACAATTATACAGTAAAAAACTATTTTACAGTTTATTTACCAAACACTACTCTGATACTTAAATCTATAATTCACAACTGCACCAAATAGGTTATTAGCTTATGTTCGCAGTTGTAAGTTATAATCTGCTAATCTATAATCTATAATTACTTTATCAAAACTTTACCAAACGGGATTATGTCATAAGAATTTAAATACTTCCAAGATATATATTGAAACCAAGCACGGTAGGCAACGCATTTGTGAGAAAGCAGCTTTTGAACAAAGTCAATAATTTGTGGTGTATTTCAGTGGTGCTCTGCAGTTGTCGAGTGGGATATTGTAAAACAATATAAATTTCTCAATTGTTAATAAACCTTGACGTTGTGTGATTATCTGATACAGCAATGCTAGAGGGCCACAAAAACAGTGACTCAAATGGCTCAAAACTGTCAAAACGACGTCGTTTTGAGTGCAAAACAACGCAAAACGACGTCGTTTTGGCTGTTTTGAGCCATTTGAGCCACTGATTTTGTGGCCCTCAAACATTTTCCTATCTGATATTAGCGCTCACCAACCTTTTGTGATGGCTTGCAACTGAGCCTTGTTCAGTTGTTGTCCAATAATTACTAATGGTTGAATCCAATATTTTCCAAGTTTTTATGCATGTTTCTTACAAAAATTATATTTTATAATATTATATTTGGTTGAGAGATTTGAGAAATGATTTAAATAAAAAAAAAATGTATAAAATTAAGTAAAATGTAAGTATATTTTAAAACAATCTTCACTTTATCCCCTTGTAGTTTGGTCCATGTGTAGATTACCTCCCTCTTATTTAAAAATAATCACATAATTCTCATGTGCTTTATGGACCAAAATGCACCATTAAAATGGTTGACGGGAAAAACAAAAAGTCTATTTTACCCCTATATAAAAGGATTACTTTTTTTTTTTTTTTTTCTCCCTCTTTTTATTGGTAGTGTTATTGTTTTGCTGGGTACTCTCTCTTTCCTCCACGCCTACTGTCAGCACCTCTCCGTCACCGGAGCCCCATCTCAGCCTTCCTCTAGCTTTTGCCTCCATCACCGCCGCCACCGCCTCGACATCGCCATCGCCATCGCCATCGCCACCGTTGTCATCAACAACCCCCTTCCCTTCCCCCAACCGACTTCGTGTTGCGGTGGTGATTGGCAGTGGAATTGGCCGAAGGTTCAAATGTTTCGCAAGGGTTTCTAAGACTTCGCCGCTAGCTTAGGGATTGGAGTTCGTAGGTTTTGAGGTTTAATTTGTTAAGCAAAGAGTTGGGATTTATACAGAATTTTGAACATTGTTTGCAGATTGACATTTTTTTTTACATAAATAATATTATATATATATATATATGTTGGGATTAATTGATTGAATAACATTGAATTATTTCGATGGTTGTCTTTGTTCGGTGAGAGGGAGACGGTGGTTGTCAGCCTGCCATGGAAGATGGTGGATCTTCCTTCTTCGTCATCACCTTCATCGTCTTTGCTTCTCATATCTTCAGCCCCTCTCTCTCTCTCTCTCTCTCTCTCTTTGTTTTGTTTTGTTTTGTGTTTTTTGGGATCATGAAGTAGGATCAAATGTTAGTTCTATACAATAAATAAAATAATTTGTAGTCCGATGTTTCTTCAAATAAGTCATGAACGCACAAGGGCTTCTGATAATTAGCAATCTATTTTTACCTGCAAAAACAATACACTTTCAAGTATACTTCCTCTCATTACAGCATTGAAGATGCAACAGATAAATACTAGAACCATTTTATCTTTTAAGCCAGAAATAACAATAATCAAAGCATGAATGAAGATTATACACTTCCCTAACAATCATATATTTGCTATGCACTTCGAGGCAGTAGTTCTTGCCAAATAAGTTTGGGCCTACAGTTGACAAAACAGGTGAATATTTAACAGTCACGGTTGACAAAATAGGTGGGCTTAAACCTTTCAACCGTGTGACTGTATCTTTTGTATTTTAAATTATATTTTTAAAGATTTAGTGTAAAAAAAATTTAGTACATTTTCATATCTTTTGTATTTTAAATTATATTTTTAAAGATTTGCTCACCAATATTTTACTTTTTAAGTGTATCTAAAAAATAAAATAATTAAAATATAACAAAGTTCACCACCAAAGATGACAAAATACAAAAAATAAAAAACTCAAAACTATATTTGAAAACTAAAATCAAACAAAGTGATTAAAAAATAATTATACGTAAATCTTTTTTATGCAGGTGTACACAATCCCTCTAATTCATATAAATCTCATCCAAAATAATATGAAAGTGATAATTTTAAAATTATAAATTATAATGTTGGATGTATTATTTTTAAATAAATAAACCATAAAAACCACATTACTCTGGTCCATGGCAGGAGCCGTCCAGGCAAACAGAGGGCTGCATCATATAGTCAATAAAACAAGAATAATGCTTGGACCCCCTTTTGGGTCACCCCCTCACCCCCCTTTGTCACGTGGCGGGTGGTGATTGGAGGAGCAGGAAAAAAAAGAAAAAGAAAAAGAAAATATAACCAATGAGAGAGAGAGGGGGTCAAAGGGGGTGGGAGAAAAGGGGGATGAATCATTGTTGATAAAACAAACACCACCATTTGCAATATAATCTGCCTATCCTTTCACCATAAAATCCAAAGAGCATACTAGAATAGAAAGTTTAATTGATTACATCTAGTTTCCAGTACGTGACAGGTGAGAGGAAAAAAAAAAACAAACAAACAAAAAAAACCACAGGCAGAGCACATTGAGAATGAGACAGCTAAATCATAACTTCAACATTATTAAAATCTGTAACCTGTTGATGTTGTGCGACATGATAGTGTAGCAAGCCAAAATTTGCAAAAGCAGAATGTTGGATTGATCCCTTGCACCAGCCCATGGGACTTGCCAAATATACCTTTGGAATCAATCTCCACCGATGAATAAAGGTACCGGACAAAATACAACGATGTGAGGAAGCCAATAGTGCTGGTAGATATCATGATCGCAATGGCCATGATCAATGAATACCCAAGATAAAGTATAGCCAATGCAGGTCCATTCAAGCCCTTAAGGTCAAAAACCAGGTAATTGATCGAGAAGAGGAACGCATAAAGAGCAACGGAACCTGATGCATAGCATGCTTTCCACCACCACTGCCAATCCTCAGCACAGAGATGCATGTAGGTAAGGACCACAGATACTTCTGCGCAAACGATAACCAATAACGAGAAGACAACAAGCAGGAATCTAAAGACATAATAGAACCTCCCGAGCCAGATGCTAGAGAGGATGAAGAAAAGTTCAATGAATATGGTTCCAAATGAAAGGGTCCCGGTCCCAAGAACCAGAAGCCATGACGAAATTACACCCATACCCTCTTCCTTTGGGGTTATATTTGACACTGCAGGGGACAACCTCAAAACCGGCTATCTCATATCCAGAAGGCTGCTTCTTCTCAGCTTCTGGAATTACACCCATACCCTCTTCCCCAGTACCAATTATCATCACACCTGCCCCTTCATACTCATGAGCCAAAACCCTGAACTTGAGGTGATTGATGATGTAATCTTCATTACTATTTGGCAGTGCATACCCAACAGGAAACCCAGTCCATTGAATCTTAATTCCATTTTGTTGAGCAAACCTCATCGCAGGCAAATTATCCAAAATCATATTTACTTGATACAGATCACGAGTTCTCTGTTTCAATAGCTTTACCTCATGCTCACTTAATGAGCTTGTGGTGCAGAGGAATACAGATTCATTGACGTTCAAACGAAAACGGTCCGGAGAGTTGAGAATCTGGTCTCCCATGAGGAGTTGTCCAAGATTCTCTGCACTTTTCTTTATTCCCATATGGGGTTTGCAGTACGGGAGGCTGTAATAGCTGAAGGGAAGCGCATTGTAAATAGAGGTCAATGAATTAACTTTAGCATATATTTCTTCGCCTGTTGAATATGTATGCATGTAGTTTTCCGAAAGATAAAAGCCATTGCAGGCATGTGAAACAAGAACTGTATAGATGAAAGCTACCCAATATGCCCTTTTGGGGATCAAATTACAAGCCATTGAGTTTGAAAAAGAAACACAGCAGTTCCCTCAAAACTATTCTTAGTCTAAGCTATGGTCGAAGGCTTACTCAACATCCAATCTGCAGAAGTGAAATCTTCATGTCAGTCTTAGAAATTGATCTAACAAGTAAGAAGGTATCCAACCATCCCTTCCCAGAGAAAATATACAATCAATTGGCTTTATGGAAGAAGAAAGAACAAGTAAAAGAAAAAAACCTTATTACCTTCAGGGGATAGGCTTGCCTCTGGTCCATAACTCGGACGGCAAGGTGTTGTTTGGATCTGTGTAGTCCACCACACGTCCTGTTTTTATGATTCAAGCCGTGTATTTTGTAGGACTTTTTGTGTATATCATCCATGAAAAAAATGAACAAATTCCGATTATCGGATAGATCTAATTTTTATCATAAACGATATACACGAAAGGGAGTTACGAAATAAACCATTCAAGTTATCAAAACCAAACCTGTGGTCGGCGCTACATACAGTACCTTCCGGGATATTGGAGTTTCACTTACACGGCCACCTCAGTTGTTTTGTGACAATGTCAGTGCTCTTCATTTGTCGGTCAATCCCATGTTTCACGCTCGTACTAAACGCATTGAGCTCGATTACCATTTTGTCCGAGAGAGAGTTGCCCTGGGGCATCTCACCACTCGTTACATACCCTCGTCTGCTCAACCAGCAGATCTGTTTACGAAGGCCCTGCCTAAAATCAGTTTCACATCTTTTCAAACCAAGTTGGGTGTCCATGAACCCTCCCACTCCTACTTTCAGGGGTGTTAAGGAAAGCACATATCGTGGCACAACAGATTGGAAAACATATGAAGAGGAAATCACTGACAATACTTCATAATTTTAGGACTCATTTTCAGGCATGAATCATGGGCTTTAACATAATTTTAGGACTCATTTTCAGTCATGAATCATGGGCTTTAACATAATTTTAGGACTCATTTTCAGTCATGAATCATGGGTTTTAAAGCTGTAACTCTCGCATAAACTTAGCAACTCCTGGTGTATATATTATGTACAGGAACATAATGAAAAGGTACGCTTCCTCTACACAGAAACAGTGAAGCTTCTCACAAGGGTGCTTTTTTCACCAAGTATGACATACAAACACATAGATATAAATTTTGTGTAGTTATATAGAGTGGCTGTGATTGATTTTACAATTAGAAAGACAACTGATTTCTTTGTCAATTTCTTGGATAGGGTAAAATTCTTGATGAAGTATTTGTGTCCTCAGAGAATTAGATTTGTGTTTACTTTGAGAGTAAACAATCTTATTTGATTTTGTTTAGTTCTGATTTTGTCTTAGGGTTTTAAAATCCAAAATAAATAAATAAATTGTTATGTTCTGATTAAGGGTTCAGGATTTTGCTTCTTTTATATTTTCTCATTGTTTGACAGTGCTTCGATTGGTGATTACTTTTTTTTTTTTTAATGTCCTTTTTGCAGAATATCATATGCATTGAATCATATGATTTTGTTATTTCAAATTATTAATTTCTTTTAGAGCATGGTGGGTCATTGACTAATTCTGTACATTTGGTTGGACCATAATCGATTACTTTTGAAAGTTTCTGGATATCTGTGTTGATTTCTTGAATAGAATATGGTTCTTGACAATGTACTCGTTTCCTTACTGGAGCATATGTTTTTGTTGTTGCTTAAAAAAATGCAATAAAAATCTTTGTATGTCTGGACACAACTTCGCTTCAAGTTATGAATCATGTTTGTGGTGATTAGTGCTTGGAATTTATGCAATTGGTAAACACATAAGCTCTTTTTTTTTTCCCTTTTTTTTTTCCTTAGTCTCGAGCGATTGTTTTTCATTTGACACAGTATAATTATATCTTCACTTCAAGAAATGCTATTAAACTTGTTACTGTCTACATGGAAGACTGAATCCTGCTACTTTTCCAAACTTCCCCCTTTTGTTTGGGAACCACTGTTGAATACAAAAACTAGAATATTATGTTCAGAATAGGAATTAGAATATTTTAATGTTGATTGTAGGAATCTCTCTTCTTGTTTATATTGTTTATTAATTGTATAATGAATATGATATATATACATCGCCTCTACCTCATTCAAAGGTAAGTCAAACCATTGTTTTCATCTTTTTTGGTATCAGAACTACGTTCAGAAACCCTAGCCCTTCTCCTTCCTCCTTGCTGCCATTACCCAGCCACTACCCAACTTGTTCTTCCCCTTCTTTCATCTTCCTTAGGTGCCAACAGCCCCTCCAAGCCCCTCTACACCACCCGTTAGCCTTACCCCTCTCTTCTACACCACCCAACAGCCCCTCCTAGCCCCTCTACACCACTCAAAAGCCCTTACCCAACTGTCCTAGACCCTCGGCAGGTGGTTTCAGCCCTGCCGAGGTCACTGTTTGCTGCAGACCTGGCTGGTTATTGGCCTTAGGTGTCGGCTATCTGTTTAGGGTAGTTCAGGCCCTCTTTTGCCCTTTCCAAGGTATAGTGTTGATGTGTTAAGCACCTTTTTGGCTCTTTTTCATTCAGTAGGCTACTGTTTATTCGGTAACATTTATCGGATTAGCTGTTGAGTTTTTTCGGCTTGTCGGATTTTTTTCTGAATTGTGTTGCTATGTGTATTTCACCATTACTGAGATACCTCCTAATGTTATTTTTGATATGTCCACCAAGCTTGTCCTAATTAGTTATGATTTTTCTTTTTCTCATCACACCTGTTCATCGTATTATGAGTGTGTGGTGTTGAATGGCCACCTAGAGTCGCTCCCTTAAACTCTATTTAGAGGGAAAGGGAAAAGCTCACTAGCTCCTATCTTCTACTACCCAGCTTGCTGCGACAGATCCTACACGTGCCCAATGGGATATTGATAATTGTACTATTTTGGGATGGATGTTCAACTCCATGGAGGATCGTATTTATCACATGTTTCTCTATTGTGACACAGTTCCTAGTCTATGGCGTGCCTTGTCACAGATGTATGCTTATGCTTATAATGATGTTCGTATCTTTGAGCTCTATTAGGACATTGCTTGTGTCTCCTAGTCTGCCTTGGGTCTTTCTGTGCCAGAGTTCTTTGCATATCTTCAATCCTGTTGGAAAGAATTGGCTCAATATAAGCCGTTGACTGAGTTACCAGCAGATGCTGCTTCTCTTCATGTCCAAATGCCTTACTCACCAGTACACCTACCAGTTTTTGATGGGTTTAAACTCTAAGTTTGAATATCTTCGAACTCAGATTTTAAACACATCACCCATGCCTTTAATCTATGAGGCCTTTGCCACCATTGATATATTTCCACCTGATATTCCATTGAAAGTGCAACAGGAGATTAAAATTGGAAAACACATATACTTCTTAAGTGGTAGAGATAATACACCCTAATTATGAAGTTAATAATTTTAGTTATGAATTATACCTGATTCTGTTCAACATTGTTATACTGTGTTAGTGTATTTGCTCTGAATTTGTTGTTGTCATTGAAGATAGGGTTAATATTAAATGCACTAATCAATCAATTTCTGAATTTTGGCAGCTTGCTTATGATTCTACCATTCTGGAGATATGAGCTCTCGGTTGCATACTGATTTTGTGGTGCTTGAAAAACTTGGTACATGGATATTTCAATTTGTCTTCCCTACATTTATCTTCTATTTATTCTTGTATTCTTGAGAAAAAAAGAACTTGTCCATTGGGTTTCTGATTTTTTTCATTTTATGGCTTCCTTTTATATTTTAAGTTATGGTTTTTGCAAGTGTCACATGAATTTATGATGTTATTCATAAGAAAATACTTGCTTAACTAGATGGGCCCAATTGAAGATGCCTTTTAGGTTTTAAACACAGAAAGTTGAGCATACTCAGAGAGATCCTCGTCATGTGAATTTTTTTGGAGTTATTGTCCTTGGAGATCTGAAAGTTAAATAATTGTAAATCATTTGCAGGAAAAGGTGGCTTTGGCGAAGTTGTCAAATGCAAAAATTTGGTAGACAAATGCATTTACGCAATTAAGAAAATACCACTTAAGAATGACCAGGAAGAGCGCGAAAAAGTGTTGAAGTGAGATAAATTTGATCTTTTTGATAACATCTAGATATTTTGAATTTCTCTCTTCTAATTTTTTCTAAATGTATAGTGAGGTGCTTGCTCTATCGATAATGGAACATCGACATATCGTTCGCTATTATCAGGTTAAAAGAAATTAATCCTTCTACTCTTATTGCTATACACTTAGATTGCACTCATAATATATATAATCTCAACTCCTATCTTAACTATTAATAATCCACTTTTGCAGGCATGGATTGAGGAAGGCTATATAGATGAAAAATCACAAAGCGACCAAGATTTGTCATCCTCAGATGATTCAGACAAGCCGACTGCAACATTATATATTCAAATGGAGTTCTGCCCCTCGTAAGCATTTCTACTAGGAAAAATTACGCTCATAGCCTTTAAATTTTGTCTCTTGTATCAATTCAATTTTTGTGATTTCTAATTGCATCTATGTGAAAATTGAATTGAAATCAATGGGTAAAATAGTGTTTATTCACTCTTTTTTTAAAAGAACAATAAAATTGAGGGGTTGTCATCCAATTTGATGGTCAATTCCCCTTTCAATATATTATTTTTTTCTTGTTGATTTCTATTCTACTTCATAAAATGTTATTAATCGAATTAAATTGACACAATAAACAATTAAGGGACAACATTAATACAATAAAAATTATAAAGATCAAATTAAAACCGCATGCAAAAATTATAGTTGAAGAATCTAGAAATCCCCTAGATGTTGATTTGTGATTATGTATCAATTTTAAGTAGTAAACAACAATCCCAATCAAATAATCAAGACAAATCGACACAACGATTTTACGTGGAAAACCCACAATTGGACACCTCCAATTGTGATAAAAAAATCACGGGCAACAGTCACTAAATAATCCACTAAGAAGATATAAAGGAATTACACAGGTATACTCTTAATTACCTAGTGAA